ACCGGTAGATAGGGCAGAATGAGTTATTTATAGCACAGAAACAAGCTAATTAAACTAAACAAAATGACACTAAGATCTATAAAACAGCTCAACTGGATCCAAAGTTATGATTTTTAATATTCTTAAGTTAAAATCAATTTAAAGTTTTAATAAAAATGTTATTTGCAATATATGTTGATATGACCAAAATAATTAATTCAGTTAATAGTCTGATATCTATCCATTCATCAAATTCAAATGAAAACAGAAAACTTAAAAACCACAGGTCACTGTGTTTAAACATGATTTTCTCAGAAACTAGATCCCGCCATGTGGTCTCTTTTCTACCGTGAGGTCACATATAATTAATTGATAATATTAATCGTTATGTAATTTGTTATAATGTAATACCAAAGTTAATTGCGCTTTTACTTTTGTTACTATCTGCTGTTTTTCTAGGCTGAGTGATGCGCAGTTTTGTTTGTGCGCTGTTTTGTGCTTTGTTAGTTTTTCTTCTGTTCAGGAGTTTTGAGTTTAAAATTTCCAGCCCTATAAAAAAGCACGTTAAGACTAAATTCGTTCTATTGCATCTCATTATATTTTTGGAATAGGTCGTATTCTGTTTAATCATTTTAATTGTTTACATTTCTTATATCTTAACGTGTTTATTACCTTTATCTAATTTGTTTTTAAGCATATTTCTTTTTATTTTTTATATTGAATTAATAGAATGCCCCAAAATGTTGAGGATGAGGGTTTGTATTTATTCAGATGTGTATTATGTTACTGATTAGTATTATGTTACGTAGTTAGTTCTTAAATATATGTATATTTTTTAGTCGCTGAATTGCTATAAAGGTAGTTTTGTTCCATTTTGTTATAATTAAATATTAAAATTGCATTTTGTGTATGTTGGTTAATTTAATTAAACTTTGCAAAAATAAAATGTTTTAAAGGGTTTTTAAATTTTTGTAAATTAATTCAATCGAGAAAGAATAAATATTTATTTTATTATTGAAAAAGATTTAAGAAAAATTGAATTTTTCTTTTCTTTTTAGATGACGACAGTATTATTGGATAAAGTAAGTTAAAAAGCATTTTTGCTTTTTAAAAAGGAATAAAAATTCATATATCAAATAATATATCTGTTTTTTTTTGAAAGAGATTTAAAATTTCAGGTTTTTAAAATCTTCTTAATATAGTATCTTAAATAGACCAAAGATCCATTTGATCTTCTTCCTCTACTACTAAAGTGTAAATATACTATCAACTGTTTGTTTTTCTATTTAGTTAACAATAATGACGAAAGAGATAGTAAGTTTAAAAAAAAATTTTGCTACATATAAAGTAACTTAAAAGTTTTCAAAATGTTGTTGTTGATTTAAAAACTGTAAAGCAGTAGGTTTTTATAATCTTATGCAATTTAGTCCCAAAAATCACATCTTACTTAATATCATATTTAATAAAGAGAAGAAATTTAAAATTTTTTTGAGACAGATTTTTGCCAATTTATATTAAATTAGTTTAATTAAGATTTATTTTCTTTAGTTAATAAAAAGAGAGCTCATAAAGGTATTAGTTACATTTGTTAGGTGAGTTTATTTAAAAAAAATTTGGTAGACATTTTAATGTCTATACATTTAGGTGATTTTATTGTTTAGACACAGAAATGAACATTAAGATAAGTCAGTGTTTTTCTTATTAGATATTTGTTATTAGGAACTTGTGTATTTGTGCTGTAACTGGAATTGTAACACTTCAACTACCTTAGCTTTATTTTATTTTTCTTCTACGAGAGTTGGAACAAAAACAAAGTCTGATTTAGGATTAGTATAGTTAAATAAATAAGACATTTATAATAAGATTTATAAAGTTTATTTTAGTTTATAGTTTTGGTTTAGTTTATAATTAATTTTAGTTTCAGTTATTTTTTTTTTTATCTTAGACAACTTTATAAAAGAAATGAGGTTAATAGGAAAAAAATTATAATTATGAATGTATTTATGTTAATGTTATTTATACGTACAGTGTTGGACAAAACATTTGCAACCAACATCGAACAAAGCTAAAAAGTCTTCCTATTTTTACATGCCATAAAAACAAAACGAACTATATTACCACAGCAAACAGTTCAGGAGTATGGAGTCATAGCATGCCATGACATAATCGATCGGTTGACAGGTGACAGCACAGAGGCAGAATTTCTTTGACAAATGCCATTTTGCAGCGGATAAAACAAGTGCAACATTTTTGGTTTGTTTCATTTTCTTAAGTCTAATCTGTGTCAACGTCACAAAAGTTTTTCAAAAATAAAGGAAGTATCCAGATGTTTTAAAAAATTTCCAGAACCATGCAGAAACGTCCAGAAGTGTCCAGAAACAATCAGAAGCATCCCGACGCATCCAGAAGCTTCCAGAAGCATCGAAGAGAAGCATCTAGAATTTTCTTGAACAGTTTCACATAGGTTCATTTTACTATATAAGAGACATGTAAACTGACATGTAATTTAGTCAGTATATGGAAGTCAATCAGTCAGTATTATCAAGACAGTTTATCAAAGTGTTTTATCGAAGAACATCAATACAAGAAGTAAAACACAACAAGTGTTTCATTACATCAATACCCATATCCAACCAAGACGTTGTGTTCCACAGAGCATTATTGTATCATCACAAAGTAAATGTAACACGGTAAGCCTTGAGAGGCGTGAATCTTTATTTTTATTATTTTTATAACTTCAAGGGCAAGTATGGCTCCCTACAGTCTTGGATTTGAACTAAGAAAAAAAACTATTGCCGATTACGTAAATGGAATGTTACAAAAAGGTATTTGTGATAAATCGCCCGAAAAAATGAACCGTATCAAGACTATGCTCCAAATATTGTTTTATATGGAAGTTGGCAGCAGATAACGATGGAAGACCGCATTCCACTACTTCTAGAGAAGGTTCTATGATCATCAAATTTGTCAAGAAGAACCCGTGAATATCTTCAGTTGAGGTACAAAAGTAATTAGAGCTGCTTGCAACGGAACGAAAAATCAGACGACGTGTTGTTGAAGCCAGATTGTTTTATCGACGCCCTGCAAAAAAACCGCTGATTTCACTAAAGAACCAGAAAAAAAGACTGCTGTTTGTAACATCACATATTTACTGGAATGTGCAGAAATGGCAAATTATCCTGTTCAGTGATGAATCAAAGTTCAAAATTATTGGGAGCGATAGCGTTTGCCATGTACGTCGACCGGCCGGAAAAAGCCTTGACTTACGTTCTGCCATAAAGACGTGAAGCATGGTGGATGCAATGTTATGGTCGGGGGGTGTTTTTCTGAAAACGAGCTAGGTCTAATACATCAAAACGGTGGAATAATGGACCGTTTCATGTAAAAAAATATCCTGAAAGTTGTTATGTTACATCATGCTGAATGGAACATGCCAATAAAGTGGGTTTTTTAGCAAGACAACAATCCGAAACACACTGCAAAAGTAGTGAAGCAGCAGTTTCAAAACAACCACCATTCGGTGATGGATTGGCCGCCTCATTCTCCGGATCTCAACCCTATCGAGAACCTGTGGGATCGTCAACCGCAGAATCAATTGTGAAGGTGGTCATAGTAAGGATCAACTACCAAAAGGCCTGTGCAGCGATTCCACAAAGTTTCATTGATCACCTGATCGAATCTATGCCTTGAAGATGCAAGGCTGTGACACACAAAAAAGGATTTGCCAAGAAATATTGATAGCGAAATCTGGATTTTGTGGAGTTGCACTTGTTTTGTCCAGAAGGTAATCATCTTTTGATACTTTTGATTAATTTATTAATTTTCGTGTACAAATAATGAACTTTGTGAAGAATAAAACTTGAAAAACGTTATCTCTAAACAGGTACTTAGTTTTTTCTCTAAATAGAAAAAATGCAGCACTTTTATATAAAAAAAACTAAATTAGCATTGTTTGGTTGCATTTGTTTTGTCCGATACTACAAATATTTTTTTAATGATTATTATGAAATATATTTTTTTGTCTTTAGCGTTTTGTAGAAGCATAACTGGTAGGGCTGTATTTTGTTTTTTTATATATTTTCTCTCTCAGATTGGTTTATCGATAAGTGGTATACAAATGGTGGTATGGATGAGTCCTTCTTTAAATGGAGGGCTCATCCATACCGGGGTGTTGGGAGACACCGAAGAACAAATAGCATTAAAAGGGTTAAAAATAATTTTAAATAGATATAATAAGTATAAATTTCTTGTTGCTGCTTTTTCTTCGGTGACTTTTCAATTTTTTATTTTTGTAGTTTTTTTTTTATATTGTGTTTTTAAAAAAAGTACGTTATTGTACTTTTTTTGTTTTCAATTTGCAAGTTTTTTGTTCTAATTTGTAATTTTTTTATGTTTTTAATTTGTATATTTTTTTATTAATATATTCTCTTGTATATTTGATTTGTTTTGGTTTTGTTTAATTAAAATGAAAATCAAATTAAACCCAAAATACGGTTAAATTTATTCATTATCCAATTATTATAGTATAATGATACTACATTTAATTGTTAAAAATAATAAATTGCACTCGCTGCTTTTAAGATATACTATAAGCCAAGACAATATATTTTGCTATATTATTGCAATCAATTTTAATTAATTTTTATTTTTTATCTTAAATATCTTAAATATATATATATATATATATATATATATATATATATATATATATATATATATATATATATATATATATATATATATATATATATATATATATATATATATGTATATATATATATATATATATATATATATATATATATATATATATATATATATATATATATATATATATATATATATATATATATATATATGCACTTCAAATTTTTGTTTTAATTGGTGACTATAATATTATTATTTTTTTTTTAAAGCTAACTTTCAATAATTATTTTTTTAGTTTTAGAAGTAAACTTTTTGTTAATAACAAGTAAAAAATAAAAAACAGAGAAGGAAAAGGGAAGTGGTTGCCTATTTTG